CGTGGGCCTCGGTCGCGCACACTTCGAGAAGCAGCCTCCGAGCAACCTCAGAAAGTCGAATTTCTTCCACTTCGTCATTGCCCTGTACGACCGCGCGGGGCAGCCTATCGAGATCGAGAGGACGGCCTTCCTCGGCTTCATCGAAAAGGACCAGGTGAGTTTTATGGCCGTTGGGGGAGGGGAAGGGGAGGGGAGGGTAAGGGTTGGGTAGGGGAGAGGTAGGGGAGGTAGGGTGAGGGTAGGGGAGGGTAAGGGGGAGGGTAGGGGAAAGGGGAAGGTGTGGAGGTAAAGAGGAGTGGGATAAGGGGAGGTGGGGAAGGGGAGGTGGGAGTAAAGGATGGAGGGGAAAGGGTGGAGAAGGAGAGGGAGAGGGGATAAGTATAAAGATGGAATCTGGACGCAAGAGAGAGAGGGAGATAAGAGGCATAAACGAATACACACAGAACAAAAATAACAACCGCCCCCAAAAAAACAAAAAATCCACTAGAACCCCCCACCCCTCCACATATCTATCGATGACGTCACACGATACCCAACTTACCCTCGATCTCGACGTACCGATTCCCCCCCTCCCCCCCGCAAGAAAGGTCAAGTAAATACCAGAGACCGCGCGCGCACTCTCTCGCATTGTGGCAGCATCTCGCCTTGGCCTTTGGCGTGGTAAGGTCGACGAGTAATATGCGTCTGGAGTTTCTCGAGGCAAGGCAGGCGGATGGGGAGACAGACAGACTAACAAATAGGCATATGTAAAGAAAGAAAGAAAGATAGAAATGCAGAGAGAGGAATAGATAAGGAAGACAGTAAGACAGAAAGACAGATAGACTAACAAATATGCATATTCAAAGAAAGACAGAGAGACGAATAGATAGGAAAGAAAGTAAGACAGATAGACTAACTAATAAGCGTATTTAACGAAAGACAGAAATGCAGAGAGGCGAATAGATAGGGAAAGGAAAGTAAAACAGAAAGACAGGCAGACTGGCAAATAGGCATGTTTAAAGAAAGAAAGAAAGACAGAAATCCAGAGAGACAAATAAATAGGAAAGAAAGACAGATAGATTGGCAAATAGATAGAATAGATAGTAAGAAAGGGAGATAGATAAAAAAAAGCAAAGCGGGCAGATATATATGCAGACGCGGCCATAACATGCTACCTAGTAGACAGAGACATAAGCAGAAAGGAGCATAAGCATTCGAAACCCTTAAAAGCTCTCGGTCTCATCTCTATCTCATGTCGAATAGGTTCATATACGTAGTCATATCAAGAGTTTTTTTTTTCCTTTATTCTTCTGTCTGTGATGAAGAGGTTCCAACCGCGTGTGATATGCTTATGTGTCCTTGGTTTTAGATCCTGTTTATTCGGATTTGATGCTTTATGAAGGAGAGAAATCGCGGTGTATAAGGATCTGTTTACATTTATTAGGCGTTTATGCTACGGGAGGAAATGAAAGAAATGGAAGAAAATAAGTAGTAGAAAGAAGGAAAAGAATAAGAGAGAAAAGAAAAAAAGATGTGATGATGCTGATGGTAAAAAATAATGATAATGATGATGGAGAAAAAGTAGGAAAAGAAGATTAAAAAGGAGGAGAAGCATCAGACGAAAAATAGCGAAAGAAGAAGAAGAAGAAGAAGAAGAAGAAGAAGCAATAGCAAGAACAAGTCCCAGCCAAGACTTTCCCAGACAGAATTCGGTGCTCCGTTCCGCCATAAAACTGCCTAGTAGCCTCGCCCGCCTCCACCTTCAGGACCGAAATAAAGCTGGTCCCTTCTGCAGCCCCCCCCCCTCCCGGAGACCCCCTCCCGGAGAACCCCTTTTAGAGAACCCCTTTTAGAGAACCCCTTTTAGAGACCCCTTTTAGAGAACACCTTTTAGAGACCCCTTATTAAAGACCCCCTTTTAGAGACCCTCTTCCAGAGACCCCTTTTTAGAGACCCCCTTCCAGAGACCCCTTTTTAGAGACCCCCTTCCAGAGACCCCCGTTTAAAGAACCCCTGTTTAGAGACCCCCTTCCAGAGACCCCTTTTTAGAGAACCCCTTTTAGATACCCTCTTCCAGAAACTCCTTTTTAGAGAACCCCTTTTAGAGACCCCTTTTTAGAGACCCCTGTTTAGAGACCCCCTTTTAGGGATCTACTTTTAGAGACCTTGTAAAGACCCCTTTTAGAGACCTCCTTATAGAGACCCCTGCTTGAAGACCTCCTTTTAAAGACTCCCTTTTAGAGACCGAAGAGAGGGAGAGGGATAGGAAAGACCGAGGAAGAGGGTTGAAGAGGGAGGAAAGGAAGGAATGGAGGCTTAAGAAGGGAAGAGACGGAGGGAAGGTATAAAAGAGAAAAAGAGAAAGTTGGAAGGAAGAGAGAGAGAGAGAGAGAGAGAGAGAGAGAGAGAGAGAGAGAGAGAGAGAGAGAGAAAGGGAGAGAGAGAGAAACAGGGAGAACCAGATAGATAAGTGGATTGATTAATAGAGAGAGAGAGAGAGAGAGAGAGAGAGAGAGAGAGAGAAAGGGAGAGAGAGAGAAACAGGGAGAACCAGATAGATAAGTGGATTGATTAATAGAGAGAGAGAGAGAGAGAGAGAGAGAGAGAGAGAGAGAAAGAAAGGGAGAGAGAGAAAGAAAGAAAGGGAGAGAGAGAGAAACAGGGAGAACCAGATAGATAGGTGGATTGATAGAGAGAGAGAGAGAGAGAGAGAGAGAGTAACACACTCACTCACACACGGACTACGTAATGCCCTCTGCCACAATTACCGTCACCGATTATACAATTACTCCCGGGGAATAACTCGTACGTGCTTATTATAAAACTGATTCACTATCACAACAAAATTACCACCCTCCCTACCCCCCCCTCACCTATCTCTTCCCCTCCCCTCTCTCCCTCTCTTCCTTCCTCCCCTCTCACCCCCCCCCCCTTCGCCTTCCCTGTTCTCAAACACCATTTTACTTCTAGACTTTTGTGGGGGAAGAGGAAGTGGTAAGAGAGAGAGAGAGAGAGAGAGGGGGGGGGGCGAAGTGGTGTGTGTGTGTGTGTGTGTGTGAATGAGTGAGAGAGAGAGAGAGAGAGAAAGAGAGAGAGAGACAGAGAGAGAGAGAGAGAGAGAGAGAGGGGGGGGGGGCGAAGTGGTGTGTGTGAATGAGTGAGAGAGAGAGAGAGAGAGAGAGAGAGAGAGAGAGAGAGAGAGAGAGAGAGAGAGAGCTTTGCCCATTCTTGCGCGAGATATTATGACTTCTCACATGTGCTTCTCTCTTTTGTGACGGCTGTTACGAGCGTGACGCAGTGACGAAGCCACGCTCGTCGCACCCCACCTCCCCTTCCCCTCCCCCTATAACCGTCCCTGCATCCTCCGTCTCCTTCCCTCCCTTCTCCTCCTCCTTTTCTCCCTACACCCTCTCACTCTCTCTCTTTTTTCCCTCTTCTCCATATTCCTTCTATATAATACCCCTTCTACCCCCTCCCTCCCTCCCTCCCTCCCCCCTATTCTCCCTCCCTCTTTCACCCACCCACCCCTCCACCCACCCTCCTTCCTTCCTTCCCCCTTCACCCCCAATATCTCCCCCCCAATCTCTCCCCCCATCTCTCCTCCCTCTCCCCCCCACTCCCCCATGCTTCTTCCCACACGCTAATATATTTATTCAGACTCAAAGAGTGCGTGAACTTGTTGTAGAAAAGCATTATTATTTCAGCAAAAATAATCGCCCTGTGTTAACCGCCGTGCATAATTTCACTTAAGACAGAAACACCAGTTTATTTCCGTTTTTAGGGCGCGCGCGTGTGCCGTAGTAAATTCACACATAAACCTGGCTAATGCGGTGATATAACAAGTTAATGGTAGAGTAGAACTCGCTCGGAAATATACACAATGAATAGGCTCGAGACATTAAAAAAAATGTTTGAGGAAAAAATGGAAAAAAAAGCGAAATGAGATATACATATGGATGTAGGATGTAAATGAAAAAGAAATATAAAGGTTAAGGTAAACAGAACGGGGAGAGACAGACAGACAAAGACAGAGAAAGAGAGGGGTAAGCGAGAGAAAGAGAAAGAGGGAAGCAGAGGGAGAGAGAGAAAAAAAAACACGCTTAAAGAGACAGTATTATTTAATAGTGATTGAGTTTAATTGATGACAGAAAACGCGGCACAGGCTACAGAATGGCTGGTCACGTGACTAAATGATACCCACTTGGATCCAAAGGGTAAACAGGGTAATTGCGGGGGGGGGGGGGGGTCGGATTTCCCTCCACCCCCCCACTGCTCGCGATTCCCTTTGCTTCCTCTTTACCAGTGTCTCTCTTGTATTCTCTTTCGTGTTTTCTCTCTTTCTCCTCTATTCCATTCTTTTCCTATGTGTCATGTCTTGTCTCGTTTATTTTCTTTGCTCCTCTCTTTTTTTCTCTTTCTTCTTCTCTCTCTCTTTCTCTTTCTCTCTCTTTCTCTCTCTTTCTCTTTCTTCTTCTCTCTCTCTTTCTTTTTCTCTCTCTTTCTCTCTCTCCCTCCTTCCCTCTCCACCCCCCTCTCCCTCCCTTTCTCTCTCTCTCTCTCTCTCTCTCTCTCTCTCTCTCTCTCTCTCTCTCTCTCTCTCTCTCTCTCTCTCTCTCTCTCTCTCTCACTCTCTCTCTTTCTCTCTCTCTTGCAACGCCCCGTAAATTAAATAACATCTACCTCATTGTTAAATCGTGGTAAGGGGGGTTTTTAGAGGTGGTGGTGAGGGGGGGGGGCGAGGGGTGGAGGGGGAGGTTATAATTATGTAATTGCTCCTTGTCTACGCTTGGCTGGCCTTGCTAATAGCGGGCATTGGTTGCTAGATTTAATGTCCTGAAGTCCATTGGTGATTTCATGCACTATGTTTTTTTTTCGTCTGATTCTTGCTGCATTGTTTTTTTTTTTTTTTTTATTATTATTATTATTTTTGTTGTATTCGTTTTTTTTTTATTTTAATTCTTGATTTTTTTTTATTCGTTGTTCACGTTGTGTTCGTTTTTTAATCATTCTTCTTCTTGAATCTTATTTTATCATTATTATTATCATTATTATTATTATTATCATTATTATTATCATTATTATTATTATTATTATTATTATTATTATCATTATTATTATTATTATCATTATTATTATCATTATTATTATTATTATCATTATTATTATTATTATCATTATTATTATCATTATTATTATTATTATCATTATTATTATTATTATCATTATTATTATCATTATTATTATTATTATCATTATTATTATTATTATCATTATTATTATCATTATTATTATTATTATCATTATTATTATTATTATCATCATTATTATTATTATTATCATCATTATTATTATTATTATCATTATTATTATTATTATTATTATTATTATTTTATTGTTATTATTGTTATTATTATTCATTCATTTTATACCGTTTTTTTATCATTCACCATCATTCTTGTATCCGGGATTTTTATATACAATTCTTGTCGAACCGTTTTCTGTTTTCCTTTTTTTTCCAATTCATCATTCTTGTTGCATCGGGCGAATAAAGTGACTCTATCGGTCTGTCTCTTTGCTTTGTGCCAAAATTCGACTAGGATGGAGGGTGTCATCCAGATCGGAAGGTACAGAACTAAGGTTTTATGTCATAGAAAAGTGTCATGCATGTTTTTTTTCGCCTCTTGTGGTTATATTTATCTATCTATCTATCTATTTGTCAGTCTCTTTTTTATATTTATGATAAAAATCTATGTCAGAATTCTAATGATGGAGATAAATTTAGTTGTCTTGTTGATGTTTTTTTTTTAATCTGTATCAGGATTCATATGATAAAGATAATCTTAGTATTTTATTGATATCATTTTTTCTAAAAACCTATATCAGAATTAAATTAAATTAATCTTAGTAATTCATCAAAACAACGTCTTAAATCTATATCAGAATTAAATTCAATCAAAATCTCACTCTCCTATTCTCATTATTTCATACATTTAAATAAACTTTTTTTTCTTCTTCTTCCTATTAGTCTTATCAAATCTTCTAATCTTCTTATCAAATTTTCTTATGCTTTTCTTCCCTCCTTCTTCCCTCCTCCAGGAACCCGAAGGACAGAAGACAAGCAATGGCATTCACTACAGATTACAGCTTCTCTTCGCCAATGGTAAGTCTTTCGTTATTGTTGTTATTATTGTTGGTGTTGGTATTATTATTATTAGTGTTATTGTTATTGTTGGTGTTATTTTTATTTTTATTATTATTTTATTGGTGTTGTTGTCATTATTATTGTTGTTATTATTGTTATTATTGTTATCATTATTATTTTTATTACTGTCATTATTGTTATTATTCTTTTACGGTTATTATAATTATAACTGCTATTATTATTGTAACTGTTATTGTTATTATTGTTAAGTTTACCATTATTATCACTATTATCATTATTGTTATTATTATTATTATTATTATTATTATTATTATTATTATTATCATTACCAGAGTTTGAGAATTTCGTTTTTGTTTGGTCGTCCGTTTTGTTTTTGTTAGTTAGGAGTTAGCGTCCGTGTGTCCTTTTTATATAATAGGGGTAGGACAGTTTTTTGCGTTTATCTATATTGGAAATCTCTACTTCCCTCTCTCTCTCTCTCTCTTTCTCTCTCTCTCTCTATCTATCCATCTATCTATCTCTATCTCTCTCTCTCTTTCTCTCTCTCTCTCTCTCTCTCTCTCTCTCTCTCTCTCTCTCCCTTTTCCTCCTCCTCCTCCTCCTCCTACTCCTGTTTCTCATTCTCCCCTTTTCTCTCTCTTTCTTTACATCTCCCTGTAAAAGACTATACTTCCTCGAGGCCAAATTCCCTCCTGGCGGCAAGATTGGATGTGCGGTCTTTGGCTGCGAGGATGAAACTTTGCGGGAACGTAAGCGAGAAGTCTGTACTAGCGAAGCATTTCACCTCCTCCTGGATTCCTCCTCCTCCTCCTCCTCCTCCTCCTCTTTGTCCTCCTCCTTCTCTTTTTCCTCCTCTTCCTTCTTCTCTTTTTTCTCCTCCTGCTCCTCCTCTTTGTCCTCCTCCTCCTCCTCCTCCTCCTCTTTGTCTTCCTCTTCCTTCTCTTCCTCAACCGAGGCCTGCACTTATTTGTCCTCCTCCTCTTCCTCCTTCTCTTTGTCCTCTTCTTCCTCTTCCTCTTCCTCTTTGTCCTCTTCCTCATCCGAGTCCTGCTGTTGACCTTACTGTTACACCTCCTCCTCCTTGTCCTCCTCCTCTTTTTTCTTTTCCTTGTCCCCCCTTTCTCGTCCTTCTTCACCTTTTCTCTTTGTCTCATTTTGTTTTTTTCTTATTTTCCTTAATTTTCTTCCCCCCTCCCTTCTTCCCACCTTCCCAACCTCCCTCCTCCCAGCGCGAACGGGGGCGCCCGAGGGCAGCGCTCGGCAGCATATCGACATCACTTATTTACAGCTGAGTCTTGGTATATTAGACGCCCGGGATCGCCGACAGGCTGCGGCTGGCGAGAGTGACGACGACGCGT